GAAGTGATACAAAGTGAAATGAACAGAACCAGGAAAATACTGAACATGCTATCAGCAATATTGTATGATGATCAACTGTGAGTAACTTAGCTGTTTTCAGCAACACAATGATCCAAGACAAGGTCAAAGGATGGAAAATGATATCCATATCCAAATAAATAACTGATGGACTCTGGTGGAAACAGACTTTTTTACTTACTTCATTTTTTGTGTGTTTTTTCCCTTTTGATCTGTTTCTTCTTTCACAACTGTGACTAATATGGATATGTTTTACATTATTGCACATATATAACCTATATTGAATTGCCTGCCATTTTAGGAAGAGGAGAGGGGATGAGGGAAGGGGAGGGAGGGAAAAAAAAATCTGGAACTCAAAATCTTAACATACAATTGGGAAAATAAAATGCTATTAAAAAACAACTTTCATATAATACACACATATACTACATATATATATATGACTCCAATTTAGCAAACATATTATCTACTGTGTAAATTGAGGGTACATAAAAAACATAATTCCCTTTTCATCCTTTAAGCTGTGCAAGGATTTCTTGAGCAGGAAATCCATGAATGTAGATAAAGTCATGAATCCAATAGGCTGTAATCACATGATCTGATTTCCAGTCCCATTCAATAAACTTCTCAAGCATCCCATAAGTAGTGAAAACCACACATTATCTTTTGCTTGTGTAACTGGTCTGCTTTTAATTCCATCCAATGGACAGTTTTCATTATCTTGTAGTACTTGAATTCTTCCTCAGTGGTGAGCATTAACATGATAGGAAGGTCCTCTTCTAACCAATGAATGTTACATTTGCAATGATCAAATGAAACATCTTTTGCAAAATTAAGAGACACAATCAGAAATCTTGTAGTCCTTTCCTAGGCGGTACTTAACAGGACATGGAAGTCAACAGTAAGTGGGAGCTCCAAACCTGAGTAAGAGCTGAAACTACAGTTACTTGTTGAGGGAGAGAAGGGGACCCTTTTCCCAAAGTCATCCTCCAGTCTTATGTTGATATTTAAAGGCATTCCTAACCTGACTCCATTCTATATTCCCATCATTATTTTTTCACATTGTTCCCCTTTATGTATTTTATGTTATCAAATTGATCTATTTACTATTACTCAAACTTGATATGCCATCTGCTTAAACACAGGTTGTCCAGTATGCCCCCAAATGTACTCCTTCATTGCATTTATCTATTAGAATTCTTAGTTTCATGGCTGAACTCAAATGCCGCTTCCCATGGTAAGTTTTTCCTGATCATAGATCCAGAACTAGAAGGTAATTTGAAGGTCACCTGGTCCAACCTCCTTATTTTATGGGTGAAGAAACTGAGACTCAGAGAGATTAAGGGATCTGTCCAAGGTCACAAAGGTAAAACATAGACGCTCTGATTTTCAAACTCAGGTCCTACAACTCTAAATTCAGTATTCTTTCACTGCACTACACTGTCTCCCTCTTTACTTTTTGTGTGGCTTATTTCAGAATTATGGCTTAAAATTAAATTGCTTGAAATCACTGGAACTGTCACCAGTCATATTGTACCTTCAGGGAGAAATTGTAACAAGATCAAATTGTCAAATTACCAGCAAAGAGCTGACGATGTGGCCACAAGAAATGTATGATTGAGTTTACAAATGGAAGCAGAACATAAAAAAAGCCTAGCAGAGCTGAGATTGGCAACTTAAAAGATGATCCCCTACTTTTTCCATTGACTATTATGAGACACGAGACTTCTTTAGCTGGACATTTTGATGTTTGTTCTTTCATTCATCATTAATTGAACAATTATAGAGATCAGCAAAAAATAAAAGCTCAGATTTAAATACTACTCCCTTCATTCAATAAATATTTATTAACCACCTATTATATGTAGAATACAATATTAGGTCTATGGGAGCTAACAGTTTTGCTATGGGCAATGGCATATATAGATAATTATAATGTAAAAAAGTATATAATAACTGTATAATAAGGGTACAAACAAGTTGCTACATGATATTTCTTTATTTTTCTGAATAAACAGTTCTGAATCAGAGAAGATTATAGGTTATTTACCCTATCAGACAAGACACTTTCCAGGAAAAGAGTAGGATGAAGAGAGAAGTTGAATGCTAGCAGACCAGTTGTAGTTTTCTTACTAAGCTACTTTCCCCCATAAGTTAATTTTATTTTCAACATACTAAAATAAAAGTTTTCTTTATTCTTTGCCTCCCTACCTCTATATTTACCAATGCGCTCTTCATCATTTGCAAAAAGCACCAAATAGTTGGTGTGTTGGTAATCCAATATAACAAAAAAGGTAAGGAGATCATTGTCATACACCCCAGAGATCATAAGCCATTAGCAAAGGCTATAATTACTGCACAAGCTTATAAGAACAATAGTCCTACATGAAAGAAAATAAGTATTTCCTGAAAAATGCCCAAATTAATCTATTATAATATTTTACAGTAATTTATTTTTAAAAAATACAGCTCCCTTTTTAATAGTCACTTACTTAGCTATAACAAGCTGATTGTTTTTCTCCCATTTTTCCAACCTGAGAAAATTACTATTTTAGTAAGCTAAAAATAAAATTGACTTACGGAGGAAAAGGAACAATAAGGGCCCATGGCACTAAAACTCATTAAGTTTTTTTTTAAGTGGAAATGAACAAAACATTATAAAATTATAGAAATCTTGAACAGGCATTCTTAAATAACCAAAACCTGGATGAGAGAAATAATGTAGACTCTTCATGGCAAGCTCTGTTTTGCATCTAGAAATTGTCTATTACTTTTAAGTCTGGGCTTGTCTTGGCTGGCATAAGCCAATAAACTAAAATACATTGGGTGATTTTTGGAGCATCTAAGCATCAAGAAATCCAGCAAATAGGCAATCTTTCTGATAACATGAATATTGAGGAATAAAGGAATAAATAACTAAATGTCACTAGCAAGTATATAAGAAGGATTTCTCTCTTTGCTGTTATCAATTCATATGGCTAATAGCATCAGTTTAGTTTCAGACACATTACTCAAAATACTAAACTTGTGTAAGAATTTAGAATTTGCAATGTTTGTTACTTCAATCAAGAAAGTAAGACAGGTGAGCTTTCCAAGCAGGAAGGCAGCTTTTATTGCCAGTAACATTAATGAAAATAGTAGCTCCTGTCACATTCTGAGGCTGCTTGTATACAACATATAAAAGCAAAACTAGTCCAGGCTTTGGGTCTGTTGTTTCTAGACTAGTATTTATACTATAGCTGTTTGTAGTAGCTATCACTGACCTTGTGACTGAGCCGTCTTCCTTTTCACTTGCAACTATGATCTCACTTTATCACACAGCCTAATGCATAAAACTTGCTAAAGGACATACAAGAAACAATGGAATGCAAACGTGGCCACATTAGGAAAGACCTCAAGCTAACCAGACTCACCAGGAACAGCACTGCTGTGCCACAATGTTATACTATTCAACTCTCTTGCTTTCTCTTTTTCCAATGCAACCATACCTAAAGACAGCTATTGGCTTTTTGTAAATAGGTATTCTTTAAAATACTCTCAGAACACTTTTCTTTCATTGGCGCCTATGTCTAGACTTGCACAAAGTAAGAGAAAAATGAGCAGAACCAAGAGAACCACTGTATACAGTAACAGCAATATTGTTTTAAGAACTTTAAGCAAATAAGTCATTTGGCTATTATAAATACCCAAATTAACTACAAAGGACATATAAAAGAAGACACTATTTGCATCCAGAGAAAGAAGTGATAAGTAGAAGTATATATATAATTTTACATATAAATATATATACATACATATGTATTTATGGCTAATGGCAGCCATTTTCAGGGTGGGGAAAGAAAAGAAAAAAGTTATCATTTACATGATAACTTTATTATATGTTTGAAAGAAATAGCAAGTTGTACATAATAGATTAGCAGTTTCATGAGCATCTATCTTTTTATTATACTATTTTACAGAAATGCTTGTTTTATTCCATAAATTAAAAATAAAATCAATAGAAATTAAAATACCATGAGGACCTGATAATATGTAGAATCCAGGCTTTTTCTAGCACCATTTCTTATGCCAAGTTCTCAAATCCTTTAGTTTCCTCATGGCACTGCTCAAAGCACTTGACTGAAGCATATACTTATCCTATATGTGGATCAGGCCCAAGGCTTAAGCAGAGTAGGTGGCTGCCTATATGATGGGATCTGAAAGGGACAAGAAAATGCCACCATCCAGGAATGTCTCCCTCACCAGGCTATCCCTAGTATTTGAAATTACACTAGTTATTACTTTAGATCCCTTGTTATAATTCCAGTACTAGAAAATAGTGTGAGTTTTTTTGTCAGAATTTTACCAGCATGACAACTAGTTGAGAGCAGTTCTAGACAGTGAAATGGATGGATAGCTAAGTCTAGAACACAGAAAGTAAATATCTATGTAGAGCTTAATAATTCAGAGGAAAGCATGAAGGTTCTGGACTCCTGGGAACAGATACTATCTCAAAAGGAGAGAAGGGAACCCCCATCAAGATCCTCCATAGACCCCCTCCTCCAGTCCCCCCAAACTACTTGGCCACTCCTAGATCTCTTCCACAGTCTTTCTATATATAAGGTCCACCTTGTCTCCATTAAGGTGCTCACATTCTTAAAATCTAACCAATGGCTGAGATTTACTCTAGCATGCTTGTCAATACGAGTCCACAAATGTTCAGATTCCTTAAGAGTCTGGCCAATATGGCGACTGTTAAATAAACTTTGTCTTTGGCTGAAAGAAGGCTTGGGTGGACCAAAATAGCATATTGCTATTTCCTGGTCCCAGTATCCCTAAACCTCTAAAACCTCATGAGGCTTTTGTGTGGCAAATGCTTTGTGGATCTTAGAGGGCCCATGGGAATGGTGGCCACTTGTGTCCTCTCTGACCTCAAGGGGCCCCTCCCCCCACATTCTATTCTGGCATCACAGAGGCTCAGTCCTGGGATTGGCCTGAGAAGTGTACAATTGGGAATTCTTCTAGGCTTCCAGCTCAGACTGGGGGATGATGGTGACTGGGATGTTGTGGTGGGTAGTGTTGCTATCCCTCCTGGGGACTGTGAGGGCTGATGCTGAGTCATCGTGCTCTGGCCTTTGTGGACAGAGGCCATTGTCCAAGTCATCTGACTCTCGGATCATTGGGGGCACGGCCGCATGCCCAGGTTCTTGGCCCTAGATAGTCAGTATATAGACACAGTATTGGAATGGCAAGTATAGGGACCACATATGTGGGGGCACCCTCATATCTCCGACTTGGGTTCTCAGTGCTGCCCACTGCTTCAATTAAAATGAAACGTGAGTGAGCTGGGGCCGGCTGTGGAGGAGGGGTGGGCAAGAGAGGTCTCCCTCCCCAGGGGGGGAGAGGGTTCTCTTTTTTTGTCTGTCTGTCTCTGGAGAAGCCCTGCCTGGGTATAAGCTTGATGAAGAGTTTTTCTCTCTCTCTTCTCTCCTCTTCCATTTCTGTCTCTGCGTGTACGGTAGCTTCTGGAATGGTTTTTTTGTCTCTCTTCTTCTTCTCTGTCTGTCTTCTCTTTGTTTCTCTGTCTCTCCCTCCTTCCTCCCTCCCTCCCTCCTCCTCCTCCTCCTCCTCCTCCTCCTCCTCCTCCTCCTCCTCCTTCTTCTTCTTCTTCTTCTTCTTCTTCTTCTTCTTCTTCTTCTTCTTCTTCTTCTTCTTCTTCTTCTTCTTCTTCTTCTTCTTCTTCTCCTGTCTCTCCCTCCCTCTCTCTCTCTCTCATATCTCCTTCTCTGCCTTCCCTCCTTCACTCCCTTGCCTGAGATGACTCTGGGTCCTCATTGATTCTTTCTTTCCCCAGTCACCTCGGTGGATGGCGGCTGTTGATTGGCGCATTGAAGATTGAGATCGGATGGACCCACAGCCCCTTGGACTCCACAGTGCAAGAGCGAAAGCCCATCAAGATAATACCACAGGAACATTACAATAAAGAGCTTAATAAAAATGACATTGCGCTGATAGAGATGGACAGACTGATAGAATGTGGGGACCTGGCCGGTATTGCCTGCCTGCCTTGGGCTAAAGAGCCCACAGTTACCCCTCAGTCCAAGTGTGCCATTGGTGGCTGGGGGCTCATATCAGAAGAAACGTTTGTGCCACATCCCATGCTGCAGGAAGCCGAGGTTGACCTGCTTGATACAACGTTGTGCAACAGAACCCTCTGGTACTATGGGACGATTCACCAAAGCAACCTTTGTGCTGGCTACTGGCATGGAAAGGTTGACACTTGCCAGGGGGACAGCGGGGGGCCGCTCATGTGTAAAGACGCACACAGTGGCACCTACGTGTTAGTCGGCATCATGAGCTGGGGGCTGGCTGTGGCCAAGCCTTTCGGCCAGGCGTCTACACGTCCACTTGGCACTTTCTGGACTGGATCGCCTCCAAGGTTGGGTCGGCCACTGTCTTTACTGAGCTACCTGCTCAGGCCAAGATCCCGACCGTTCCTAGGACCACAACTGTGAGACCTACCCGTCCCCCATTCTGGACCTGGATCTGGAGCACAAGGTCCTGGGCTGATCTACCCTGGTGGATGAGGACCAGACTCCCGCCGCTGAGGACCACTTGTGCCAAGGGTGCTTTACCTGAGATGTGGCCCAAGAACGAGCAGCCCTGGCCCCCAGGGAGTCGCTTAACTGGCTCACTCATCTACACCGCTCCCCAGTCCGGGATGTCCAATCCTGTGATGGATAAGGCCCAAGTTCTGGGCCCCACCCCCAGGCCTTGCTCTTCACACTCCCCTTCCCTAAGCGCTCGAAGTTGCTAGTAGACTCCATGAAGAGCAACAAGACCATAATGAGTTATGTCTGGAGAGTGTTGTCTATGGGCAGGCCAGGAGCCCCCTGCAGCCTGTCCTTCTGTCCTTGACCCCCGGGAATGGGTCAATAAAGTTGTATATGAAAAGAGAGAGAGAGAGAGAGAGAGAGAGAGAGAGAGAGAGAGAGAGAGAGAGAGAGAGAGAGAGAGAGAAGGAAATTGAAATTTTAGGTAGCAGGACGCCAAAGAACAATTTACTTGTTTTACTGTTGTACAAAAACAAGACCTGGCACCATAAAGATAAAATAATCCCAGTGACATGGATCTTCACTGGGGTCTTTTAAAATCTATGTGTTAAAAGCGTCATAAGGTTATGCATAGAGAAGACTCCCATTCATTCAGGGGGATTTTCATATCCCGTGTGAAAGTTCCCAATACAGGTACCATAGATTTTGCACTTCCTTTTGTATCCTCAGGAAGAAGCTTGATTTATGCCTTACCAGGCATAAAAAGGAAGAATAACCTTGATCTGCATCTTCTCCCCTGACTTCTTTAGTGAATACCTTAGCTAGTAGCATTGAGGATAGAGTGTTGAGCCTGAATCAGGAAGACCTGAGTTCGAATCCAGCTTCAGATACTTTTAAGTTGTGTGATCTTAGATGTCACTTAACTGCTATCTGCTTTGGTTTCATAACTCTACAATGAGGATAATAATAGCTCCTACCTAACAGGATTGTTGAGAGAATCAAATAGGATATTCATAAAAAGCACTTAGCACAGCTGCCTAACACACAATAGGCACTATATAAATTCCTATTTCTTTCTCCCTTCCATCTCTACTTCTGTCATTTTCCCCACTATAGCCAGGATTCTCTGTCATTATGACTTTCCTAGCTTTTCTATGGCCAGAGGGTGTTCTAGTTACAGGATACTGATGATGTTGTACCTTCTATTTCCCTTAAAGCATGAATGGAGGTTCTGAGGGGTCATCTTTTTCTCTATATAAATACGCCCTTGTATTACCAGTATTTATTTATATGAACCTCCACCTATATACACACATGTGTGTTGAAATTGAGTAAAAAGAAATAATCTTAATATAAATCAAGGTATCTGGCTCTGGAATCAGAAAACCTAGGTTCAATTCCACATTTGATGTTTATGACCCATGTAACTATAGACAATTCATTTAATCTCTCTAGGTCTCCATTTCTTTATCTATAAAGTGACAACCAGTCTCTAAATTTATGAACTTTTGGGACTCAGTATGTCTGTCTCCCCATTTTCATTCTAGTATAGTTGGAGAGGAAAAGGATAATAAGCATGTATGCATTATTTCATGGTGTCCTTTTGGGATGGTGAGGGAGTGCTAAATTTATATGCTAAGTCTGGAGTTGAGTGGATGAAGCAGTGTAAACATGTTACCTGCCACCTTTCTGAGAAGGGGAGCCAATGGTGGTCATTCAAGAAGTGGCACTAAATAGCATGTAAAGTAACGAAAAGTATTTAGTATTCAATCCATGACAAAAGTACCATAGGTTGTCAATGCTTGTGCTAAAATAATAACTGTCATTATTATTACAGCTGACATTTACATAAATCCAGTCCCCTTATTTTATAGAAAAGATTGAGGCTGAGAGTATTTAAATGAGTTTCCTGGGATCACATGGGTTGTAATTATAAAATTAAATATTTAAGTATTGAATGAAAATGAACAATCATTTATTAATCACTTACTATGGGTCAAGCATTGTGCTAAGTGCTATAAATACAAATAGAAAAAAAAAACCAAAACTAGAGCATCCCAGATTTCAAGGAGCTCACATTCTAGTTGGGAAGACAACATACGAAAGAAAATTTAGCTGTAAGACATATGGGGAAAAAAGTGTTCAAGAGGTAGAGTAGCAGGGCAGATGACAAGGCCCACAGTGCCTTAAGTTAGGTAAATAGGTCAAATACAGGTGCTAGAGATTGACAAGTCATAGATGCAACTAGGTAGCAAAGTGGATGTTTTTGGACCTGCAGTCAGGAAGACCTATGTTCAAATCCGGTCCAAGACACTTATTTGTTGTGTGACCCTGAGGCCAATTAACCTGTCTGCCTCAGTTTCCTCATGTGTAAGATGAGGGTAATGATAGTACCTGCCTCCCGAAATTATTGTAAGGAACAAATGAGATATTTGTAAAGCACTTTGCAAACTTTAGAAGGCTATAAAAATGGTGGCTAATACTATTTCAGATGCAGGGAAAGTGATAAAGCCTGATGACTTTCTATCTATGTTATCAAAAAGAAGAGAGCTTGTGACTCCATTCTCATCTATGCCATTGTGAGTAGTCAAGTATCCCAGATGGGCTCTTGGATAGCTAGATCCAGGGGAAGGCGTGAGGAAGAAGACAAACAGGAATGGTACCTTTGGTGGTAGCAAACCTTCTTGCTATCCAGGGGTTCTAAGATATTGTTAAAACCATTTTTTCAGTACTTCATTTTCCCCTTCAAATTAGAAAGTTAAGCAACGAGAAGAATCAACTATTGTATTCACTACTACCATCACCCCCAGCTTAGGATAATAACTTTTGCATTAGTTAGACTGGAGCATGTCAATTTTTTTGCCTTCCCTCTCTCCATACCTCACCTCACTAGCCTTCTGATTTCTCCCAAGTAGGCTGCCAATCTAATAGTACTTCTGTTCTCCACAGGGGAGTCTGCCTGCAAAATGACAGACATGCCCAAATATCTGTCAGTGTTTAGTACAGATAATGCAAGCCCAGCATTTTACCCCAACCTCAGTGGATGTGTTGCAATATTGTTTATGGTTTTCCCATTTGTGGCATGCTGCTTGGTTTCCTGTGAGTTGCTAGGAGAGCTCTCTGATAACAACTATGAGCCATCGAAACCTATGAGACTTCATTTATTATGGCATGATATACACATTACCTCACTTGTGTTAGACCATATGGAGAGCTCTCTGCTGAATTTGGCATAGTTACTGGGGTGAAACAGGGATGGATTCTGTTCCTCATCCTCTTCAATTATGCTGTATATTGGATCAGGCCGCCAACTTCAGCAGATCATGTGGGCATAGCAATCAGTCCTCAGGACAACAGCTCTGCTTTACCCTATGCCAATAAAGAGTGATAGATGAGCTAAAGAAGGGATAGTGAGTGGAAGGGAATAACATTGATCCCAAGTGCAAATCAATAGGGCTCAACAGGGACATAAAGCTAGGGAGTAGGAGGCAAATGGAAGGCAGGACACCCATTTGTCACTCATTGTGGGAGAAAAACAGGAACTTGAGAGAACTTGAAATGCTCATCCAACTCTAAGCACAAACAAGAATCCAGCAATGAGTTCTAAATGGAGACAAATCAACATTCCATGCTTGGATCAACACCACAGGGGAAAAGATGCATCCTGGGGACAAAACTCAGTCTGCCATGCAGATTTGCTTCTTGTTTAAAGAGGGAAAAAATGAATGCTTGGAAAATGCAGGTGCAAGAGGGGGGATTTTAATCGCTGCATGTAGATGCAGAGGGAAATGTGGAGAACATGCATGCTTCAGAATATCTGTTACAAAGAGAGGAAAAATATTTATGGCGCTTGCTCATATGCTTATCTATAACACACCAGGGTAATGAAGTCTGTCTTCTTGTAAGTGTAACTCATAGCGCACACAAAAGGTAGTGGCAAACAATACTATATACATGACATTCATTTGACTCAATAATAACAGAACTTCACTCCACGTCCCAAAGCTACCATGATAGCAATCACCCTAAAACTGACCATGATCTCCAGAGACTAGACATAATCTGTACCATCCAATTCATGCATAGTTATAGTCTTCTGTTCTGTTCTTAATATACTCTTTCTCTCCTAATTGTAAGAATGCCCCTAAACTTACCATGTTTTCGAAGCAGTATTCCTCTGCCTGTGTGAGGCATGAAAGTCTCCCTGAAAAACATGTATGAAGCCACATAAGTATACATGCATGCACAAATACACAAAGCCACCAGTCCTTTACACACACACACACACACACACACACACACACACACACACACACACATATACTTGTAAGCATTCAGCAAGAAGTTTGCAAGTGACTCAAGACAGAAGCTCATAGGTAGCAGCATGGAATAATGGCAAAAGCCTAAGATCTGTGTTCAAGTCCTGACTCTTCAATGTACTAGCCGTGTGACGAAAGCCTAGTCCCTTCACTTTGAGTCTGAGTTTCATCTCAAAACTAGGGCTAACATTACCTGTGCTACCTAATTCATGGGGCACTTTGTACATCTGAAAGAGTATATATGAATGTGAGTTATTGTTATATTGAAAGAACAACCTTTCCTCCCTCCTCTTGTTTCTCTCTCTCCTCTCTTTCTTGGTCTCTTTCTCTCTCTCTCTCTCTCTCTCTCTCTCTCTCTCTCTCTCTCTCTCTCTCTCTCTCCTTCTCCCTTGGTCCCTCTTTCCCTCTCATATGTGCCTCATCTTTATCAAAATGGACCATAAATAATCTAAGAGTTCCCTTTGCAAGCAAGACATCATCACTAATAATGAGCTATGGGTAAAGCAAACCTGTCCCTTCCAAAGGACAAGCTATAGCTAAGCTTATGGCTGATTATTAGAGGATAAAATCAAAAGATTGATGCCCCCCAAAAAAGTCTAATTAGTGTTAGTCTATTGGAGAGGAAGCTGAGCATGCTGCTCCACCACTGCCAAATGAAATTAAGGCCCAATTATTGATAAATGAAGAGTGGTTTGTGCTGGAGCCTGGCCTGGAGTCGAGGAAATACATCTGTCATTTGGCCTGCACAGGAGTCATTCATGTGTGACATAGCATCCTGTGCATTTATCATGCATCTGTAGATTTTTGTTTTAATTCAGTTAGCTGTCTAACTAGATTCAGTTCTGGATGCCTCGTACAGAGTCAGGATTTGGACTGACAGATGCAATTCTAGTTTGAAATGGTGTGTGACATGACTAGCTAGCCTGCATATTAATTATTATTGAAACCATTATAGGCCCTGCTTATGCACTAATGGCCGATTGTGTTATCTGTTTTGTGGTTTCCACGGTTAACAATTGCCCAGTTGCTCTAGGGCAGGTAGGAGACAAACTGGATCAATGGACCATTGTTGCTGAGCACACTTACTATTATGG